TGCACCTGTAATGAATGCCTACTGTGTGGCTGCTTTTACCTTATCCCTACACCTTCATAAGGCAGTAGACAAAATGCTGCCTCGTAATAATAGAGCAGCACAGTAAACCTGAAACACATTTATAAATGTCTATATATTTATATATAAGAGGGAATACAGATGTATTTAAAGGTTATTCAGCTTTACTCAGTTTTGCCTGACGCTCTAAATATAGAGCTTGGATGACTTCTACTCATAATTAGATTGCCCAAATAAGTGTGATATAGACATTTCCACAATAAACGCTCAAATCACACCTCCCACAGAAAGCTCATTATCACTCCTAGCATGAGCAGAGTCTTCCGTCCACTACTCTGGCACAATGGGTTTTCACGCCTGTACGTCTCTTCATTTGTCTACTGAGGAGCACAAGCTCCATCTAGTGCTCAGTGAGGGGCGTTTTCAGCCATTATATGTGCAGACTTGTCCTTTTTATGCACTAATCACCTCTTGTTTGTGGTCATTTCTCACTTTGTTTTTATTTTCCTGTTCTTCTTTAGGCTGGAGAATCAGATGGTGACAGATATTCAGACCATCCTGCAGCTGCTGCAAAGACAGCCGACACTGGGACCTCCGGCCTACAGCACGGTGACTGCCAGCCTAGACTATCACACACCTGCTGTAAAGGTTCAGCCAGCTGCTCTGACTGCAAGCCATTTTTTCAGCCATACAGGAACTCAAGTAAGGAAGTCTTTGGTAGAGACAGTTTTTCTCCTCTCACAATAAGTTATTTTTGCACACTTTGTTTTGGCAGAGCAGGGGAGTCGTGCATCAGCTGGCTTTTACAATCAACAATCACATTCTCAACCAGTCAGCAGGGGTGTTAAAGGAGACAATGCGGTGGTGTCTGTAATCTGACAAGCTCCTGCTGTTTCTTATTGCTTTGCTCCCAACTGTCTGATTATTGGTTGGTCTGCCGTAGTGTTTGCCAGAAAGTCTGGACAATCAAAGAAGTTAATCACAGCCTCTGTCTGACACCATCTGAATTGTCTAGATGACATAAGCTTCTCCAGTCAGGGAGTCGATGCATGCTAAAACAAGCACTATGTTCTTAATAACTGAATAGTTTTATATTATATTGATATCATGGTAATAATACAAATATGATTATATCATGTATTAATGTAGCGCCTCTTAAATCATGGATTGTAGTCTATCCCTCCACTCTTACTGTATTTAGACAATTCTACCAAACGCAGAAAAAAGTCAAGTCAAAGATAAATGTAACTTTATGTATTATTTTATGATAGTCATTGCCAAAATAATCTGATATTCTGACTGCTCTGCTGGGAGTATAGATTTTTTTTTGAAACTGTTGAACTTAATATTAGTTCTTATTTAGTAGGGTTTTTTTATTTTACAATAATGTATTTTTTGTGCAATTCATATGTTTGCATTTGACTATTCTGATAGAAATCTGGACCTTTTTTGTACACTAACTACAAGTAAGGGACCAAGTTGAAAAAAACAATGAATCAATACAAAATGTTGTATGATTTAGTTCTAGATTACATACACGTTCGATAAATCTAATGCAATTACATTTTTTGACGATCTTCTTCAAAGGGCCCCAACCAGGAACTGGAGAGGGCCGTTCAGGAATCCAAAGACTCTCTGTCGAGCTTGGCCAACGTGAATGCTCCCATCGAGGGCAGCCTTACAGCATCGCTTGTACAAAGACATACAGAGACTCAACAACAACAAAAACAGATCACCCTGCATCAACAGTCAGCACTGATGCTTCTTCCAACTGAAACCTCTTCAATCTCCTCCTCCTCTTCCTCAGCAGCCCCTTCTGACTCCAACCTCCACACCACTGGCCTCCAAAAACCTGTCTCAGACTCAGAGTTTCCAAGGCCATAATCTTCCAGAGGCACGTTGTTCTTATACCTGGGTTGTTAAGCTGTTATTACTTTTTTAAGTAGCAGCTTTTTATCAGCATGCTGGCACAGACATCTGTATTGTTCATTTGCAATGGCTTGGTATTAGTAGGCCTGGTAGGATGTTTTTTTTCCTTCATTATGCATGTGGATAAAAAAAAACCCGGTTTGCTACAGTTAACAGTTGGTTAACTGTTATCAGTCTAGTAACAATGGTTACATATTGTAACGACAGCTCTATAAACACTGAAGCCCTCTGATGGACTCTTTAAGCATCATCACACTCAAAATGTTGATGCCCAACCAATCAAGATGAACCTATTCAACCACACAAAGAGTGGTCCAATAAGAGGACAGAAATGAACTATTTATTACGTTTACAGCTTCCTAACTAATTTCAACTTCATCTGCATGTAAACTGGTTAAAGGGCACTACCTGGTTGTGCTTGAACTAGCACTGCAACATCATATCATCGTCCTGTGTCACTCAAGCTTTGCACTCTAATGGGCTCTAATGGATTCTGTACAATGTGACTTTTCATTTTATTTCCTGACACATTACTGGTCCCAGAGGGCTGGGCTAAGTGAGCCACAAGGCCAGACTCAGCCATAATAACCACCACACATTACCCTTAACAATTTGCGTTCCACTGGACCCCAGGAAACAGACAACCTTGAGAATCAGAGAGATGTGTCCCTTCCCGAATCATAACTTGCTAAACAAGCAGAGTCAACTGACCTACCTCACACAAGACTAGGGTCTCAATTTTCAGTCCAATGTATCATACTTCGGGTTACTTCCTGGTGTCAGCTACAAAGCTGTGATAAGCTTAGTTCCCCAACACCCATCATATTAGTCCTTCCCAGGAAACCACAAAATGTATGCACAGTATGAAACCACCTGCTCCTCAACATCCCTAATGAAGGTGCATGTAGGTCCCAATAGTAAGACACCTGACGGACAAGGTAACACTTGAAAACCTCTGGAAATCAAATGATGCCAGGAGGAAAATGCCACACACACAGATCCTGCCCATCCTGAACGATTTGGTAATAGTTAATCATTTTTGACAGCAGCCATCTCTTCGGACAGGAGTTTGCTAATATCCTTACTAGGCTTTATCCCACCCAACATTTCATGTCTTTTGTCAGAAGAAGGATCTCTCCAGCAGCTAAGTGTTAACAAAGAACGGCTACTGTACTCACTCCCAAAAGGTCCCAAGAGACAGGGCAAACAACAGAGTGACAACACTCTAGTCAGTTTAAAAAGGGAAGTAGAGATGGAGACCACAACTAAAGATTGCAAACGATGGTGACATCTCTCACCAGTGTTTCGAGGCAGATTGCAAGTCCAACCTGAAACTTGGAAGCAGTGTGAGCCTAGACTACTTAGTGTACTCATTTCCATTATATGTGTAGGATCTGAATAACCAAATTATGAGAGGGGGACTTTGCTGAAAAATGTGCCTAGAATCTGAATCTGAAGCTGATGCAGGCCATAGGTTAAAACGCATAATATGAATTTCCACTTCTGGGATACTGGCCATGTTTACACCAGCAATAGTCAATACTGAAAAAGATCTTGTTAGAGCCCATTAGAGTGACAAGCCCGTGTGCTATACAGATACAGACTATACAAACTATTGTTCTGCAGCTATTAGTGAAGCGCAACATTATTACAAAGGTGTGACAACAGTTTTCTTATTCGTTGTGCCCATCTTCTCTGAAGTGTGACTCAGGGGTTATGGAAAATTGCACTGCAATATACAGTACAGTATAAAGTATACTGTATTTTTTCTTCTTCAAACAATGTGCATTATTACTGCGGTCAATAATGTGCACCTACTGCACAAGGTCAAGCCAACAGAATGCACCATACATGCTTGTCCGGGCAGATATCATAACATGCAGCTTGAAGTCTTTCTGCTGTTCTGCTGCCTCAGACAAACAAGTATGGTGTAGGTATTTCTACATGGCAGTGCATGTGTTTTATATTTATATATTTACTGTTTTGCACTGCTTATGAGCCCAAAGTAGCACATTACAATATGAAAATGATGTCAGCATATTTGTCTCTTCTTAGGATGCACATATTTGGTGGGACGGGGACACCTGGAAAGTTATTACTTGTGCATAAGCAGCCCCCAGAGAGGGTTTTGTGCCTATACAACCAATCCAAATGCAAAGTCAGCATCTTCATGTATAACTAACAATAACATAGACGAAGCATATCGATTCTTGTATTTTTTTGGTGGCAATGTACGTCAATGTTGAATTGTTGTTAGACAATTGTTAGAAGATAAATGCATCACATTGCAGCAAGTATTTTTTTTAACTGAGTAAATTATATGAGAAACTCTTTAGCAAAACAGTACTACATATGTTTGTTTTTAAGCTGTGGGAGCAATAAATGAAAACACACATAGCTGTGTCACTGGATTTCTCTTTATAAGGCCACATTTTCAGGTCAAATGTAATGAGAAACTTTACTTTAAAGCAACTTAAATCTTAAGATAATTTATTTAAAATGTTAACAGGGTGACTAGTCATCTTTGACATGTTACATAACCTTTTCAACACTGATGAATAAACATGCAGAAGTCAGCATGAGGTCACCGTGTGTTCAATGTACCAATGGTACAAAAGTGTCCGACTTGGCACGTGCAACTTTGAAGAGAAATTCTTCAAAATGTTTTAATCAGTCACTAAATTAAAAACACCTCTGTGAGGGGACAATTGTTGTGTACAGCCTTTAACTAAATGTATCATTTAATTAATAAAAGCATAAATAGTTAGAAATTCCACACACTTCCTGAAATATATTATAATATATTGATAAAAATAGTAATATGCACAAATGCAACGCCCAGTTAACAGCTGATAAGAATTTAACAGTCTGTTAATTATGAGAAACTTTAGTGGGAAATATCAGTAAATGCTCTAAGATGCATGAAAATGTGTGCAGTTTTTGTACACGTTCAAACCACTATACCTATTATGTTCCAATACTGTCCCCCAGTGGCTAGATGAAATACTAAGACTTCAGGAGAAACGAAACTGAAATGGTTTCGTTTTCCTTGATGGTGCGAATCATCCGTTTGGCTGCCAGTAGTTGTATCTCCGTGTAGCCGGCCTGTAGCCTGTTCTGTGCCCGGGCTCTCGGTCAGGTGAGTCGTAATGGCTTCAGATAGCGATGAGGGAAAGGAGCGTCTCATTGAAGACGTTAGGCCCAGTTTGCGAAAGCGCATTGTGGTGGAGCGGGTTCTAGATCAATTACATACAATCGAAGACGACCAGAAGGAGCAGATCAGACAAAAGGCCAGGAGCGCTGGCGATTTCGAGGCTGCTAATCACCTCATCTCAGCGGTCTTAAGGAAGCCTCATGCCCCTGGCTGGTTCCAAGCATTTGTGGACGCTTTGATACATTCAGGTTGTGAATATGCAGCGGACTTCATCCAGCCTGACAACCCTGTTGATCCGACAGTAGAGGCAGAAAATGATTACTGTGTCAAGCTTATTCAAATACTCTATCCCAGTCTTGTGGACATGAAGACGGAAGTGGTGAACCTCGAATGTTTTGCTAAAGAACTAATCACCCAGGATGACTTTGAGAAAGTAAGTTGTGAAGTTGAGCTGTCAAATGTATTTCTGATATGCTCTTATGGGATTGATTGATAAGCATCACATGTTCTTGATATAAAATAATAATACATTCCTTAAAATATGCATTCACAGTACAGGTGTAGTAAAAACTGTCAATACATGAATATTACTTGGTATTGTTTTTCCAGCTCTTTTGTAAAAATTGCACATTAAATGTATTTGCGGTGATTTACCACAAGATGGCAGACGAATGCACTCATTTCCTCTGCTGACAACTGCACTGCAATCTGATTGCATGACCAGTCTTTCTGTTATTGTCATATGTTATAGATTAAAACTATAACAGCAAACGAGGGGAACAGGGGTGGAGCCCGTGAGCTTCTGGGAAGTATCGTGAGAGGTCGACCTGGATGGTTTTCTCAATTTCTTGAAATTCTGCGTGTAACTGAACACAAAGACCTGTATGAGCTTACTGGAGGGTCATCTGACTGTGACAAGACAGGTGACTACAAGAAAACACAATCATTTCAGGGAATGTCATTAGGACATGTTGAGTATCTGTGTTGAGTAAGAATGATTAATCATAGTACTACCAAAGTGTGCTTTATCTCTTTTTTTATAACCCTCAGTTGGGAAACTGCCTTCGCTGAAAGATGAACCGATGGAAAGTGAAGCAGCAGCTGGAAGCCAGGATAGCCCCGAGTTTATGGTCATCAGCTCTACCAACGAGCCTCCTGAAGAGCAAGGTCTCACAGAGCTGTTTCTTTCAACAGAGTGAAAAAATATATATATTTAGATCTCAGGGATAACAGCTTACAGCAGTCCTGATTTAGTATATATTGAACATGTTAAGCCAATTAACTGAATTTGGACATTAATAATGTCTAGAAGGAAGTTTATGGTTAGGTCACCAAACATATATTTTCTCAAGTACCCTCAGTGGTGTCTCTCTATGTAGATACATTTCATTCAAGTTTTTATATGAATCTATAAAGATGGATTTTTGCTGAAACAAAGAAACAAAAGTACTGCATTTGAATATGATTTTTTCATACCCGAATTGATATATTTTCAGACCTGTACCAAGGGGTGAGCGCTAAATCCAGACAACTGCCAGACAGCGTTGAGCCCTCAACATCAGGTGGGACTGATTTACCCCTGCTCACTCTTATTTTATACTTTTGATGTTTTTTTAGGACAGTATTCACAAAGCAAGTTATGGTCCAGAAAAACACACAGTCAACATAAACCCAGAGCGAGATAAATATACGCTTTATGTGTATAAGCCGATGATATTGTAACATAAAAGTAGAAGGAGTGTGTTTTGAACATCCTGCAAGTGGAACATTTCTGCCTGCTCCACACCAAAGAATATGTTCCATGTGTGTACCATGATTAACCACACAGAGGTCAAAGAGGACAGAGCATAGCCAGCGTTTCAAAATGAAAACCATATGCTAACTATATTGCCGCATTGTAAAGGAAGGGTTTCATTTAAGTGCCTTTCTGACTCTCTGTTTACATAACAGATGATTGCCTTCAGAATAATCAAGGCAGAGTAGAGACACAAAAGAAGAGGCATGTAGACTAATGACTACTGGATATATTTAGAAAATATGAAAAAAGGAGGAAGTGTCTTTGACTCTCTAAACTTGAGATAACAGTACAGTTTGTCTCAATAGCATGACTGGCCAGAGGGTCAGGTTTAAACAGGAATTATTACTTGCAAGATTGTTCTACCAGATTGTGATACTTATGCATGTGGAACCTTTTTTCTTACTCTTCTAAGATTAATTCTACCACACTAAATCAAACTGAAAAATAGGCCTGTGGGTTTTCTGTTCTTATTGGAACGGTTTTAGACGTAGCTGGTTGTTGACTTCCAGCTCTAATAAGTTTAGCGTCTGGGATCTGTTGGTGAAACGCGGGGGGCCACACAGGCCACTGTTTACTTCCTCTTGTTGTTAAAGCTCTACCTTGCCATTGGCACAGATGCGTATTTACTCCCATGAAGTTGCTGGAAATAGCACTTTAACCTCTGGCATACCAAGGCTGACAAGGGAAATTAAAAGCTGTCTGCAGTGAAGGGAAAACTATTTCTTGGAGTTTGAATTCATAACTAGGTAGAAATGTAGAATCTGGAGTTGAAGGGAGCAAAGAAGGGGGTACATGTATATGTGCATGGTGCCTTAGTCATGTTCTATCCACTGCCTAGACAGAGCAAATGACTCATAGCCTGCCGGCGACTTAAAGTCTGACTGAAGTGGATCATAGCAAGTCTACTGTCCTTGCACTCAGGAAAATGAGACAAAATGCTGCCACGCTAGGCCACAAGAACAGGAAAAACATTGCTGAAAATTACAGGTGATAAAAATGAAACAGTCCACACAGCTCAAGAAAATCTAAAACGTTAATGAATACATGCAGATGTAAGCTGGTGCAAGGAAGTACTCTGTCTGTTTTTTTGTATTCGTTTAGGCAGTTAAATTGCCTCTTATCCCCCTTTAGCTGTGACTTCCAGCTATAGATTTGTTATGATGTTGTAAAAGGCAAGATGTTTTTCATGTATTTATTTGTACTTAAATGACGTTGATGGCCTGCTTTTGGGACACACAAACTGACATGATTTATACTTTATAGTGTTTATTTATTAACTTAGACATGATTTTATATGTGTGCCACTTACAGTAGTACTTATTCATGTGTTGTAAAGTGTTCAGAGTGTTAATTGTGGTTTAAATCAGTTGGTTTACCAATGAAAGTGAACAGTTGGAACACTCAGTGCTTATGGTTTAAATTTAGAACATATTCCATGAATTCAGTGCGTGTGCATATCATTTGGTTGGCATTTTTAATAGCTGCTTTAAGAAAAACATTCCACCGCAAGACTAAAACCACGAACAATGACAAACACAGTCGCTTCCTGCTGGTATTGCCTGTAATTGTGGGTTGCTGACATAAACTAGAAGGTTTTGTCTGTCTGACCCTCTGCTCTGAAATACAGATCCTGTAGAAGCAGCCGGAGGACCAGAAAAAGATGATATTGTTCTTCGAGATTATCAGATGAATGTGGCTGGACCTGCCTTGGAGGGGAAAAACATCATCATATGCCTCCCGACAGGAAGTGGTAAAACCAGAGTTGCCGTTTATATTACCAAAAAACATCTGGACCACAAGAGGAAAGAGGGGTGTTCAGGGAAAGTTATCATCCTGGTTAACAAGGTACAGCAACCCAAGTATTATATACCTGACTCATTACTTATCCCTTTAATGTTGACCTACTTATGTCCTTTTTCAATTCCAAAGAAAACATTCTGTCAGTCAGTCAGTCAATATACACTTGTGGGTCAGCTCACCACAAATTACATACTATAAGGTTTAGATATTCCCCTGCACTTTGGTACTACTTCACATGATTTTCTCTGCACTGGAGTGAATCACCAGCTAATCCAGATATAAAACTATTTAGTAAACAGCTTGAGAAACCGTGACGGTATGTTACTCACACTGATCATAGTGTTTAATTCTGGGAAGAACTAAATGAAACTTAACTAGGTGTGTCTTAGCAGAAAGGGAGCGTCTCACTCTGATCCTTAAACAACATAATCATCCCGATCATACCACAACTTGTGATGACAACAAAGTCATAACAGCAGTTATTGTGATTATAACAAACACACCCTAAATCCACAGGAACGTTGTATAAATGCAGATATTTCTTGTTTTCTTTTATTGAGTTATTTATTTTGGTTATTTCTTAGATTTGTAGCATGATGTCATACAGTTAAATGTGCTTTACTCTGTTGTCCTGCAGGTTCCTCTTGTTGAGCAGCATTTTAATGCAGAGTTCCAACCATTTTTGAAGCACACGTATAAAGTGGAGAGAGTCAGCGGAGACTCCCAGCTCAAAATCTCTTTCACAGAGATCGTGAAGAATAATGACGTCATCGTTTGCACAGCCCAGATCCTTGAGAATTACCTGGAGAGGGCTATCACTGGAGAGGACGAAGGGGTGGACTTGAGTGGTATGAATTTAAACTATAATTTGACAAAGAATCTTCTCACACAAGAATGTATATTACTTTTCCTTGGCTCAATCATTTATTTTTGTTTTAGTAAACTTGAGTACGCAAGCATTTAAAATGGAAATAAAGTCACAACAACACTTTTTTGAGGGGCTTTCTAAAACATTTAGTAGTGTATTGGTTTAAGCCTCGACAGATTTTGACAGGTTTTGGAATAGAAAGCCACCCGGAGGATTCATAACATCTCCCCTGATGATACCTGACAGGATCTTGTCAAAGTCTTCTGGCTCTGCTGTTCACTCTTGTTGGCACTCACCAGTCCAAGGTGGAATAGCCACCTCAGTGGAACATATGCTGTTTGTTGAAACGCCTGAGAGCATGTCCTTTTTTATTTTTTTCCAATCTCCTGCCTTCCAGGCCACACGTCTGTTCAAGCCATCAGTGTGTGGCTGATCAAATTCACATGAGAGCTTCTATCACCCACAGTACATCAAGCTGCCACTCCTCCATACTCCTTTCCTCCGGGGACACATTTGTGTCTATCTGGTTAAACTTCTACTGTTTGTGTGAATGAATATAATTCACCCCTCTCACACTTCTGTAAAAAATTACAAAAATGGGAAACAAGTTAACGCTATTTTTAAAGAGTTCATTGTGTGGCTGAAACTGCAGCGCCAGGTTCCTAGAAAAGTGCTGGTTTGTGTGGGAGGAACTCTCTTACAGAAAGTTGTTATAATCTGTGAGTAAAATTCACCTCTATTTATTTGAGAAACACAAACAAAGGACATATAAAAAGCACTGCTTGTTTTAGAAAATTGTAGTCCCATGACAGTAATGTAAGACTAAGAAATGGAGAAATGTAAATATTATTGGAAAGCAAGCAGTAATCTTGCCTAACAATATTCTTACCGAAAAACGCTTCAGAATCTCACTCACCAGTTATTTTTGTTCTTCTTTTCCTCCACGTTGCTTTTTATCCCTCTGCATTGCTGACATCACGTCTGTCCCATTCTTGTGACTGATATATCAAGCAGTGTAGGGAATTTCTTCAAATGTGGCACGTGGACACAAAGATGAACTGATAAGAATTTGGTTAACAAAGTCGCTGTGACCTTACAAAACTAAATCATTTTAATTACACACATTTCCAATAGGATCAAATGATTAAGTTATGGATGTAAACTCAAAATGTACTGGTTGGCCGAGCCATACAACAACAAGGCGATAATTCTTGTTACAACTAGACTATTTTGCATCAAGATTGTACCATTCTACTGTACAACACATTCATTAATATGCTTGGTTTTCACGTCTTCTCTTCTTGTAGATCTGACACTGATCGTGATAGATGAGTGTCACCACACTCAGAAAGGGGGAGTGTACAACCACATAATGATGCGATACCTGAAGCAGAAGCACAAGAACATAAGGCTGAAGAAGGAGCAAAAGAAGACCAAGCCCCTCCCTCAGATTCTGGGCCTGACTGCCTCACCAGGGGTCGGGGGGGCCACCAAAATGGCGAAAGCTGAGGACCACATACTGCGCGTAACTACTATACTCAGATTCCCTTAGACAGAAGCAAAGACGACATATTAGCCTATGTGTATGACATATAAACTACATGTTACATTATTATGCATCAACTATAATAATAGTAGTAAATCACCAAGGAGACCCTTTGTCTAATCACTATTTGATCATGTTTGGCAATGATCATTTGATTACATTTTACTGCTGTGTGTACATGATAAACAACATCATCTTAATTTAGTTTCACTTTTAAAAATGTTGTTCATCTTAATCGTAGCTCAGTTTCTCCACCTTAGTCATCACGGATCCTGTTCATCCAGCCAAGCTGTTTCAAATGTTCCCCTCTACGCCTGCACTCACACCGGCTGTTACAGCTGTAACACCGGCCATAACGTTTCTTGCTGCCACAAAAGTCCAAAATTGAAAACAGCCCTTTGGCTTCAACTATCCTTGACATGCATCAATGTCTGATTTTGATTAATTCCAACAATGCATGTATGTGTCTCTCTTTGATAGATTTGTGCAAACTTGGATGCTTCCAAAATCATGACAACTGACCTTGGCCAATTCAAAAGGGAGCCAAGGAAAAGCATTCAAACTGTTGAAGACAGAAAAGAGGTATTGTAGTTTGGCCTCATGGTAGCTTTTTGATACAGTATCTCTGTGAGGAATGGCATTAACACTGTTTGTGTCCTTTCAGGATCCCTTTGGTGATGTCATCAAGAACATCATGAATGCCATTCATACCCATGCCGAGCTGAATCCCACCTTTGACCTTGGCTCTCAGAGCTATGAACAGTGGGTTGTTCAAAAAGAGCGGATAGGTGAGTAAAATCTGTTGTGCTTTTATAAAAACCCTTGGCATCTACCTGGCATCTTGGATCTAAAAACTTGTCTCAATCTATTTTAGCTGCAACGGAAGAAAATCCGAAAGTGCGGGTTTGCGCAGAGCACCTCAAACAGTACAGTGAGGGCCTGAACCTCTGCAACACCATTCGCATGCGTGATGCCTTGAATTTCCTGACCGAATACCAGGAGGAAGAGAAAAAGAAAAAAAAATCACCAGATGCCGAGCTAGTCATAAAAACCACAGAAACCGAGCAATTCCTCTTCGATTTGTTTGAAGGTATTGTTGTGACTTTTTGTTTCAATACACTCATACTGTATGTCCTGGAGCATTTTAAAACAGTATTTAATCATTCTAGTTATTAATCAGAATGTTTTCTTGCTCATAGATAAAAAAGAATGGGTTTACTCATATTTGCAAATACACTATAAGGCTTAGTGCTTGTGATAGCTTAGCTTAGCATCCCTTCCCCTCTGTCTCCCTGATTTAATTCTGTCTCTACAATAAAGGCACCTGATGCCCGAAAAAGTCTTAAAGTCTTCTAAAATGATGCAAATAATTAACTACTTTTTCTTTGAAATGTGTCTTGCAGGGAAGAATGAGGGGCTGAAGCAGCTGTCAGATAAACCAGAGTTTGAAAACGACAGCCTGTCAAAACTACGAAATAAAGTCCTGCATGAGTTCACTAGCAGAGAGAAGGCCAGGGGCATCATTTTCACCAAAACCCGACGCAGTGCCATTGCTCTAAGCCAATGGATTCAGGAAAACCCCAAGTTTGCTGATGTTGGAGTGAAAGCCTACCATGTGATCGGAGCAGGAGATCAGAGCGTTGTAAAACCAATGACCTCTGTAAGTGCACATTACACAAACTGCAGCACATTTGTCTCTTCACACTTCAAATCTAATTCATACCATACCTAACCCTTTAAATACAAATGTGTGTATATTAGGCAGAGCAAAGGGATGTGTTGACCAAATTCCGCGACGGTGAAGTCAACTTGCTGATTGCCACCACAGTGGCCGAGGAAGGTTTGGACATCGCAGCGTGCAACTTTGTTATCCGATACGGCCTCGTGACCAATGAGATTGCTATGATTCAGGTCAGTGATTTCAGTGGTCAAATGAATTATAACCTGTGGTGTGTGTTGCAGATTATCACTTATATTTTCACTAGGACAGGCACCAATGAAATATTGGTGGTTGCTTACCATTGACTTTATCATAACCTTTTACAGGCTCGAGGAAGAGGAAGAGCTGAGGACAGCAGCTACACACTGGTCGATGTGAAGAACTCTGGAGTGGCCGAGAAGGAGTGTGTCAATGAGTACCGCATCACCATGATGAACAAAGCCATCGACAAAATCAGAACCTTAAAACAAGAAGACTATGACAGAAAGGTACGTCGACTTAAAACTGTGTCCTTCTTATGTCCATTCTTGAGTGCCATAGCTCAGAAAAACTTAAGGGATTTAAGTCAACTTATTTTAAATCTGGCGCAAGAAAAACGTATTGGATGATGGTGTTTAGAGGTGTGACAACAATCACAACGTTTTTGACCATAACTCAAGAATGAATATGTTAATTCATACACTCTTACACATATGCACATACAGTAGGTGCTGCTGACATAAGACCGCTCTCAGTGATGTTTTTTTTCCCTTTCCTCAGATATTCGAGTTTCAGATGCAGGCTATCATGGAGGGGAGGATGCGAATGAAAAAGAAGCAGCAACAACAAATGCAGACTGAGAAGGGTGAAGTGAAGTTTAGCTGCCGAAGCTGCAGCAAGCATGTCTGCACCGGCGAGGACATCCAGATGGTCGACGTGCACAGAGTCAATGTCTCATTAGAGTTCAGGTAATGATTACTATTCAAAGTCGACTTTTTACATTATTCTATGATATAATAACCATAGTTGGATTGATGTTCTTATGAGGAATTGTACAATGCCTGCATATCAAATGTATCCAACATCATATTAAATACTAACCTTTTTGTTTAGAAACCTGTTCATCAAGAGAGAAAACACTACTCTTCAGGAGCGGCATTGTGATTCTGAGACTGAGACCAATGAATACATAGCATGCAAAGACTGTGGACAGGTAAGTGTATTCAGCATTTTTATAAGTTTTGGGAAACACACTGTGTTGCTTTCTTTTCACTTAATATGAAGTTACAGCCTCAAGGCTGCATATTTCACTTAGAGGGACCAGTTTCGTTTTGTTTTTTTAAACTGAATAAGTGGTAAGTGGGAAATGAGACCATTTATCTGCACTTAAAAAGTGAGGAAGAAATGAGTCAGAATCCATAAGATGTAAACTAAAACCAGATGATTCCATATCTTTTCATTCAAGGCCAGGACTGCCACATGTTCTCTGGTCGCCATTTTCCTCCCAAATTCTATTTCAGCTGAGAGCACAAATGGCATTTAGTGCAAATGTAAAAACCATCTAAAATATGCTAGTATACATGCTGTATTCTACCATATCATCCCCTTCATGTTAGAAAACCTGATTTCTGTTGTAGAGATGGGGTTCCATGATGCTCTACCGAGGAATCGATTGCCCCTCCCTTCACGTGAAAAACTTTGTGGTGACGTTCAACGGTAAGAAGAAGACCAAATGCACCAGTTGGAGTGACCTCAAAATGAAGTTTCCTGACTTTAACTACAGTGAATATGCGGGCCAGTTGGGAGAATGCTCAGACGAAGATGACTGACTGAATCACAACTGTGCACACTCGGTAATTCTCACAAAAGCATATAGTATCTTCTCTTTAGCTTGGACAGCATGAGTTGCTGTACCTTTACACTGCAATGTTTCCTGAAGTATCTGATAACTGATAGTGGGGAATGTAAGCATGTGCTGCAAAGCATTAACAATATTTGTATCATTTTTTGGGGAAAAGGCTTATTCACATTATGTAAGATTGTCAAAATATACATTTTTCATTGGTGTTGTTTGGGTATTATTTGCTTTATGTTGATATAACTGTTACTGAAATAACAAGCAATTACAAAATGTGTGTTCATTTAATCGGCATCACTGATGCAAAATGAAAAAAATAAATGTCCTCTCAAACCCCTGTGGTCTCATGAGATTGCAGCCGCTGAGCCTGTGATAGCCCCTCAGAGCCCACCTGTCACATAAATGCAGATAAACAGGTGCTGCTGATTCTCCATGAAATCCAACTGTTGAGCCAGTCACAGCGGCTATTTTTAGAACCATTTCTAAATAATGTTTCCTCATACAGAAAGTCACCTGTGTGTCTGACTGTCTGAGGAATGCTTCTCAGTTGTCTGTATTATCAATCAATAAAGGTGTGTCCACTCTCTGGCTTGTACTTTCACTTTTTCATTACATGTGCTGAATTATAAAGCTTGTAAACACTATATAGTTGTTTTCCCAAGTGGTAGAAAATATGTAGCTGTAGCTGACTCCTGCTCTCTCAGATTTGTGGAGGGAATGACTTGCGCCCTTGGTGAAAAAGCCACTTCCTAAATACCAGCAAGTTGTGCGCTCTTGGAAAGTTGTGCAGGCTGCAGACTTCAGGGAGGCATCTCTGCTGTCGGACTCCTCTCAGGAATGCAGCGGGAAGTGTGAGGAGTAGGACGGAGCTCCCTTTTCTCATGTTGCCAAATTTAGTGTAAAACCATTGTTTCGGGCGTTTGGCTGTGAGAGTATGTTGACCAGGCTGCTTTTCCAAGACTTTAAACTTCACACCATCGACCTTCAAGGATTATTAAAGACTGAGAGCTTCGCGGCGACTACTTCTGCATCATGGTCAGTAAAGGATTTATCAGCTTAAATAGTGAGGAAATACAAATGACATTAGTAAATGGACATTAAGCTACTTATTATTGACAGTATGCAGCTCACTTAATAGACTACAATAGGAGAATCTGCAGCGTCAGCGTGTTTTGTGAGATTTCCAGCAGCAGTTTGTGAAACTTTGTGTCACCTTCACAGGGCTGCAACAAGATGCTGTGGGCTGTGGTGGGGGCTGCTGTCGTCATCACGTTAATAACGATCCCAGCCGTTTATTTCAGCAGTAAGTTAATGCTCAGGCCTGTCTGTGCTTTTCTTCCAATCTGCGTGTCTGTGCAGCCTATTTGAAGCTAACCAAAAACAGCTGTGAACGCTAATTTCCAAATCAACTATTACAATGTGTCTGCACTTGATTGGTCCATTTCAAGTAGATTTGTTCTGGTTTTGAGAGTTTTCGTGGTCTAAATGAGTTCATTTCTTTGTTTTCTGTTTGTTTTCTTTCATTGACAAACTTGTAAGTCAATGGGGATAAGGATATCATTCATAAACTATGTCTAATGAGGATTGACAGTGTAATAGACTGCTGTTGGAAGTCATAGCGCCACCTCGTGTCAACGGTTTTCATTTGTAACAAAGATCAACATTTTAGATTGTTGCAGTCGTGAGAAGCACACTCCAGTAGGCTTCAATTTACCAGAGGTGGGAGCAGTACTCAGCTGCATTCAAAAGCTTACTCAAGTAAAAGTACAAAAGTATTAACATAAACAAAATACTTGTATCAAAAGTAAAATTACTTATTACACAGATCTGTCCATTTCAGAATAATATATATTATATGTCTTGATCATAGTTAGTGATGAAAAGTGTTATCAAAGCTGGTAAAGGTGCAGCTAGTTTTAATGACTTTGTATACTGCTTGTGATTTGAATCCAGGTGTAACTAAAGTCTAATTTAAGTGTTGATTATATTTCACATCATTCATCCAAATCTGCAAAGTAACTAAAGGTATTACATAGATTTTGTTGAGTAAAAGTACACGATTTACCTCTGAATTGTAGTGGAGAAGAACTGCAAAGTAGCAAAAAATGGAAATACTCAAGTCAAGTACAAGTATCTCAAAATTGTACAGTACTTGAGTCAATGTACTTAGTTACTTCCCACCTCTGCAATTTACAAATACCAGTAGGCCTACTCAGCTTCAGTATTTTAATTTAATGCTACTTTGAGTATTTGGTGCTAATACTTGTTTACTTTTGCTGGAGTAATGTTTTAAAGGCAGGGCTTTTATTTGTAATAGTTACATTTAAATATTGAAAGTCTGAGTCTGATCACTTCCTTCACAACTGGACTCCTGATACTGTTATTGGCGTGAGCCCTCATGCAGCATGTGTATCATTTCAGAATCTGACGGAGCCAAAAAGCCCTTCTCCTTTGACGATTACTTCAACGACACCATTAGGTGGAAATCCTACAATTTGTATTGGATATCAGGTATCATAAACAGTCAATCATATATTTAACATACAGTAAATTGTTATTTTGGAAAATAATATTTAAAAAAATGTGTGTACAAACCTCTCACAAGCATATTTATTTTCTTTTATTTCTGCAGACAAGGAATATCTGCATAAAACAAGAGATGGGAATATCTTTCTCCATAATGCTGAAACAAATACGGAGTCCCTTTATTTGAGCAATTCAACCTTTGTAATATACTTTGATTTTCAAATGTAAACATTTTGTAACAATGAACCCTGTTCATTCAAAAATAATCATTCATATTTTATAAAAATGTTCCTAAATTGTGTTGATTATAGACTCAAGTGGATGCCACAGATTACATGTTGTCGGGTGATTATAAATACATCGCTTTTGAAAGCAATTTCACAAAGGTAAAAAACTTCTAATCGATGTTCCCCAGTTTGTTCACCAGAGTTTTTACACAAGCTTGTCTTTTTAGGAGGTCCTTAAATGTAATCGTCATAAAAAAGAATCCTGATGATAAATATCTGAAAACTAGTTTTTTGTTTGAACTCCAACAGAAATGGAGACATTCATACACAGCGTCTTACTCCATCTATAACAGGGAGAGTTCGTAAGTGGTTGTTTTATTGAGAGATACAGTATTTCATCTTACAATATGGAAAAATATATCAGAACAATACTTATAGGATGTGGTTTAATTTAGTATCACCCTTAATTGTTTCCATATCTTTCCAGGACATTTGTTACACCTGTCAATCATCCAACTATTGTGCAGTTCTTTGCCTTCGCCCCAACAGGAAACAAATATGTAAGTAAACTATTTCTTCAAGTTGCTTTCTGTGTCCTTTACATTCAGTTGAAATGAACAAAATGACTGCTGTTTCCACATGACTGCCCTAGTATGTGAGGAAAAATGGGAAAGGAAAAAAAAACATTAGACTATTGTAGAAAGTATATTTGATGAAGTAAAGCTGTGAGTATGGGTGTGTACTTTATTTGTAATCATCAACTACATTTTGCAGGCCTACGTGTCAGACTATAATGTTTTTTTCAAATCCGACATCACTGCTGAAGTTGTACAAGTCACGAACAATGGGAAAAAGAATGAGATCCTGAATGGTGTCCCTGACTGGGTATATGAGGGTAAGTTCCTTTCACTTTCCTTCATACTGTATGTGTCTCTATATGGAGGAAGCTTACACATGTTATTTTTCTCCTTCTATTTCAGAGGAAGTGTTTGCATCAAACGGGGCATTATGGTGGTCATCAACTGGAAAATTCTTGGCGTATGCAGAGTTTAATGATACAGATGTTCACAAAGTGGAGTTCTCGTGGTATGGGGCTGCGCAGTATCCTGAAACAGTGGCTTTCCCATACCCGAAGGTGGGGGTTTCATGCAGTATTCTGATATGTCAATATTTAGTTAAAGGTCACCTAGTATGCAAAATCCACTTTTTAATATATTTTATACATAAACATGTGTCCCCTCTGTGTAAAGAGATTCTGAAAGTTTCAGGAAAAAAGATTCGCTCGCTTTTTGTCCTGATCCATTTATATAAAAACCTGTCTGAAAATGAGCTTATCAGATTTTGGCCACTTTATGATGTCATAACGATTTTTTGGATTGTGTAACCATTAGCCAATAACCAGCCAAGGTAACCCCCGCCCACCTTATCACCTGAATCTCCTCCTAGAGCACCATTGTGTTCTTTTTAACCAAATATCTCTCAGAGGGGTGTGGGGAGTGGCTCCTTAGTTTCATCTAAAGTAACAGACAGAGAATCAGCACTTTTGAAACAGGGCTGAAACAGAGGGGTTTATGGGATGCTACAATGCATGATCTGTTTGGTATTTCGATTCAAACACTTCAGAGACTTGTTTTGTATATATCTGAGACCTATAATATATTGATGAAAAGCAGTATAATAGGGGACCTTTAAAGGCAGTTCTCTGTTTAAATGGTCCATAACTTATCTTCCTGACACTCTCATGTTATATTTTGTTTATCAAGAGTTTAACATTTGATGTTTTTGTTGCAGGCTGGCTCTCCCCTTACCAAGGTGAAATTGTTTGTGGTTGATGCCACAAATCCATCCATCCGCACGCAGGTGGTTGCCCCCGCTTCTGTATCTTCTGGGTCTGTATATTCTTCAGTTCATAGCATCACTTAAACAGCACTGAAAATAGAAGCAAATACAATATCCTCATTGCCATCCTTACCTTGTCACTTTCTGTTTCCTTTGCTCAGTGATCACATGTTGTGCTCAGTGACCTGGGTTACAGACGGGCGCGTGGCTGTGCAGTGGGTCACAAGGAAACAGAATTACGTGGTTGTACAGATCTATGACTTTGACGGAAGCAGCTGGCAAGAAAAACAGGTAGCTGTCACTCTGCTTCTCTGAATCACAACCAACGTGTTGACTTCAGGGTCATGTGAGGAAATTATAATTAACTGCAATAAATGTCTCTGCTCTCTATAGAAATTTGAGCAAACAAGCAAGACAGGATGGGTCGGCCATGTAAGTTTCCAGAAAGTATCCACCAAAATGAATTGGATTTGCTGTTTATGTTTACTAAATATTACCTTTTTTTTTAGTACGTGCCCTTACCACTTTTCTTTGCTGATGATAAAATCAGTTTCTACAAAGTGATGAGTGACGCTCAGGGCTACAAACATATTCATTTTGTGAAAGATGTAAGTATATTTGAATTACATACACATTCAAAATATACTGCACAGTAAGTCATCATGTCTTCTGAGTTGAGTGTCATATTCCCTCATTGTGTGAAGGGCAAAGCGACACCTATTACCTCTGGGAAGTGGGAAGTCATCTACATATCCAAATTAACAAAAGACGCCATGTAAGTGATGATGCCATACATTTCTGGCAAAACTGCATAGCATGATATTAATTCAATATACCTAAATCTGACTTTAACTTCAACTCTTTTCAACAGATATTTTATTAGTAATCAGAACCAAGGAATACCCGTGAAGAGAGACGTGTACAAGTAAGGAATTAGTGTTATATGTGTGATTTAATCTTGAATTCAAGGAATACTAGCAGACACATTAGCTAA